TTTTTCCGGTGTATCTCATTACCCCCAGCCAGTACCAGTCTTCATCCACAGCATTCTGGATATCAGAGTGGCTGCCTCTTCCCATTTCTTCTGGTCTCCCTATTTTGATTCTTCAATATTTCCTCACATTCTTGATTTCTTGTCCCCAACTCTCTTTAGTCAGTCAAACTCAGTTCTGCACATCAATTTCTCCTCAGAGGTCTCTCTTTGTTTCCCTCTTTGTTCTCCTTAGTTTTTTTTCATACGTTCTTCTTACCTTGCTGAGCATTATTATACGTTCTCTCTGAACTAATCACTTTCCAGCCCAAACAGTCCAGGCCTCTCCTCCTTCCCAATCTGTTTCTCAACCAGTCTCCACCCCTTCCAGTTTCCAGTCATAGCCTTTTCCTCATCTCCAGTTCTTGCCAGGCACTCTGTCATCTTTTTTCATATTCTTTCATCCCTCAGGCCCCTTCCACTCTTACCCCCTTTGCACTTAAATTTTTTTTTTTGTGGAGTGCTAACAAGTGTTATTGAGGGAATAGAAAAGATGGGCTCTCCAGTCTTAGTTCTGCTATTCAGTGATAGCTCCCAGCAGCAGTTAAAAGAGCACTTTCTGGATAGTCTCATAGTCTGTTCAGCTTGTGGGACCTGTTAGCACAAGGAGGTATAAGCAGCTTATGCATGTTACATTAGTTAAAATATCTGCTCAAGTTGAATAGGAGAAAATAATCAAATCTCTACTGAACCAGTACAAAATCATTTTCCTTCAGCTTTTGAGTGTTTTTTTTTTTAATTTTATTTTCAGCAGGGTAACAAAGTAGTACATCCCTCGTGCATCCAGATTAAGTCAGGATGCAAGAAACTTCAAAGGAAAGCTTTTGCAATGCTTTTTATGTACATATTCTTTCCTGTGCTTCTTGTTGGAAATAACTGAATCATTTCATCTGATATGAAAAAAAATTAATTTTGTTTGAAACAGACTTTGTAGTCTAGCAAAGTGCACAAATTGTAAAAATTCTGAAGGTTTGTAGGAAGCAAAAAAAAGTAGAAGGAAATGTGCAATCCAAACATGTAGTACCGTTAGCCCTCCTTACAACAGTGAGGAAGAACAAGTCCTGTTTCTGGATAGAAGTTTTAAAGATTTTCCTATGATTAAAATCTACCTTATTTGTTTTCTTCTTTTTCAGAAGAAAACCCTGGACTTTTTGTGGGTATTTTTTTTTTGCTGGTTTGGGTGTATTAAAAACAACAACAAAACTGTATTTGAGTTATATTAGTAATTCATATTTTAGTGATCATACTTTCCTGGAATAGATCTGGA